GCATGGCTCTTCAGAGCAATGAAGATATAAGAAGAGCATTTTTTGTCCACATTGCAACAGATTTTCAAACTGCTGGTTTAGCTGTTTGAGGTCGTTTTCTTTTTCTTAAGTCACAACATCACAAAGCCTGTGTAAACAACAGGAGGTTTAAACAACATTTATGAAGATATTTTTACCACACTCATTTTCATGGTATTTGAGTGCCATGAATGGATGGCAATGCTGCAGAGGGTTAGGATGGATACTGGGTGAAGAAATACCTTTGACCCCTGTTTGCTGTGATTCCAGATGCATGTCACTAACATACGAGCACTGGCTCTTCCAGCTGGTGTTTCCAACAGCCTCACCCAAGGCCTGATCCATCCCTCGCTCTGGTCAATGGCAAGACACCAGCCAAGCTCACTGGGAGCTGGACCTGGCCCTCAAGCTCTGGTTGCAGCAACAGCACCATGAAATTCGTGGTTGTAGTAAAGTAATTCTATGCAGAGAAGTTCCTCTTTGCCTCTGAATAGTCAAATCAAAACCACATTTTGAATGCCAGAAGCGAGTGGGGAAACAAGGAGTGAGTGTATTTTATGAAAAGCCATTGGCTATGTGTGAGCTCTTTACATCTTCCTCTGATTTTTTTTTTGTCTTGGATGGCCCAAGCTCTGCAGGATCTACTTTTACATCATTTTATACCTTTATTTCCAACTACTTCTTAAACCATTCTAGAAAACCTAAAAAAAAACCTTATTCAGATAACCAGCCTCATTTTTGTGAAACCATCAAGTCTATTCTAGCAGATGGGCTCTGTGTTTTTATGTGGATGCACATCTCTTTGTGTATCTGAAGAAAAAGAGAAAAGAGCCTATCAACAATGGCCACAATAACTTCATTTTACTATGCTTATATGCATACTATACTTTACTATACTATACTTTCTATGTTTGTTTCCAGGTAACAGAACTTCAACATGTGCATTGTGTCTTAGATGACTAAAATAAATTCATTTCCAAAACACACTTATCAGAGGAGTTATCTACCTAAGCAAGGAAGAGCAATAAAGGATAGACCTCTGTGGTAATCTGCTCCACCTCAGAGCCTTAGTTTCCAGGACAGCCTTACCACAGGTAACATGCTTGACAAAACTAAACCCAGACTCAGCATCCCTTAAAACAATCATAAAATTCCACTGGCTTCAGTAGCTGCACTGAAGATCAAATCTATGGTAAGGGAAGGTCAGTTAGTCTGCACAATTTGGGAGACAAACATTCAGGAAATATTGACAGAGGTTCTTTCAATTACTCTGTTAACAAAGAATAAGAAAAAAAAATCATCAGCTTAAACACTTTATTCTAAATACTTAAAACCAATAGAGGAAGTAATGGATAAACCCCATTTCTGATATACCACATAAACTATGGCATTTTCAGTTCAGATTGAAAGAAGAAACAAACCAATTAGCATTTCTTTTATATCATTAAACAGGTTAATTTCTTTCTCAAGTCGCTGAAGTCAAAATAAGAAGCACATAGTGAATATTTCTCTGTATCAAACAGGTTCCAGGCTCATCTTGTGGATTCTAATTCAAGCTGGACATGTAGAAAAACTTCTCTCTACTTATTTTGATTAATTTGCCAAGGGCGATTCACAGAAATCTGACAGACGCTTGATTATTTGTGAATTAGTCACTCCCCTCCTTCCTAATAAATCTTTACGTCCCTTCTTTTTAAAAACATAATATAGCCATTAGCTGTGCTGCCCCATCCTATTCTTCTCCACAACATAAAGTGTCCCACACACTCACTGCCTCCATTCTTTCCCATCCTCTCCCTCTTTTAAGTATCTTTCGCCACCAGATTGGCATTGGCAGCCAGCCAGCCAGTCGGCACTTTACCTAGACAAGCGCTATGCTGATATGCCTAGATCTTTGAAGTGTCACACAACAAGTCCAACAAGTCAGTTTTCCTCCTATTTTAATACTTTTTGCAGAGGGCTTCAGCCACAAAGTACATTTCCCATCACGTTTGGGGTTTGGTTTGTTTCAAAACTGCTCCTTTCTGTGCAAACTTCTGCTGACTTCCTTTTTGAAGTGTGCCAAGCTCTATGGTATTTTTGAGAATATGCATGAGACATGCCTTTGTGAATGATATTACATTATACCTAAATTAGGTATACACCCCAGGAACTCCAGTTCAGAAAGTCATGGTTGGATTGGTTAATGCCATTTTTAATGAGTACTGATGTGACATGCTGCCTAGATCAAAGTGCAGAGAACTGCTATTTGTCACTGCTTCCCATTACAGCACATTTTTAAGAGGGACAGGGCAATGAAACAAGTAGGACTAGGTATATTTAAAGAAAAAGAACATGCATCAGGATGATAAAACACACAGCCTTAAAATGACAACAATTTTAGGGAAAAAAAACACAAGAAAAAAACAAAGTTTGTGGGGTTTTTTGCCAGTTCTGCCATATCTGAACCCACTGGATTTTGATTTCATTTTATTTCATTACCGTATCTGAAGCTGCACTGATAGTAAATCACAAACAGAGTCTAATTTAAAAAGTTGCCCAGTGAAGCAGCAAAGGCACTGCTCTTTCCTCTTATGAAAAGCTTTTTGTGACGCTGCCATGGGGGACTGTCACTTCCCAGAAACCATGACCTTCAGGGATAACTGCCTTTTGTAAGAAATAATTTTTTTCAAGCAATTCTCAGCCTCATCTTTCTGCAAATTATGATGTTGCTTGATCTGGGGATGGAAAAACAGGTGGTGCCTATAAGAAGCCTCTCCTTTTGGATGTCGCTGCTTTTATACAATTATATTCAAAACTCCTAGTCCTTCATCACCACTCACAGTGACAGTGGCCTGCCTTTTATATTCAGGTAAACAGCAGCAGTTACAATAGGAGACTTCCCACATGCCGTATTACCCATGTGCTTGCCAAACACACGAGACTCTTCAGGTTGGCTTCTTCCACCAGGCTGGATGCCTAAGTAATAACCTGGTCAACCAAAAACGGAATTCTTTCTTTCAATCTGCTTTCCCACACACATCACCTTTCCCCTCTCCCTCTAACACCCATTTGCACATCCTGCATGAGGTTACTGATAACCCCAACAGGGACTTCCCTTAGGAGAGGTAACCAGCACATGCAGCAGAAGCACATCACAGGTCCTCAAGATTCAGAAATGCAGATGCTTGTACTGTACTTTGAGTGGATATTGTTGTTCTCCTTGCTCACTGTACCTGACTCACTTACTGAACCTGCAGATAAAGAAAAACTACTTGGGTGTCTCTGCTATTGCAGGATTGTTACAAGTGGCAAAATCAGAATTTTGATCTGGATACACAACACTTTTTCCAAATGCACTGCGCCTACAGCGTGAATCACCTCCCTTCACACGCTTGCCTGACAAACACCTCTGTGGCAACTACAGGAGAAGACAATGAGCAACCAGCGTGGGGTAAAGGCATTTTTACAGCCTTGCCCGGTGTTACGTGATCGTGTTCATAGACACCTGTTTCTTGGAGGACGCTGCTTTTCTCTGTGCATGTCTATCCAGGTCATTGAGAGGATATCTGAGCACTACAGGCTTGTACAGACCACCACCAAGTGCTCCGGAAATCATCTTTTCCGGCTGGAAAGACATTTGTGCGAAGCTGCAGGCGTAACCCTGGGAATCCAAGGCACCGGAGCACTGACTCTGACTCACCACTTACTTGCTTCTGTCTCAGTTTCCTCCCAATATAAGTGAGGAAAATCAAGTTTATTCTTCCCTCTCAAGGGACTTGGAAGGAATCAACATTGTTTGTATTTCTCTTTAAGCATGCAGCATGTAAACACTTTAGCTTAGTTAAGCTGTTCATAACACAGTTTTGTTGATTTTCTCAACATTTCCTCCAATTTGTTACACATTCTTTGCCATGAGGCCCTACAGCTGAGCCCACAAGACCAAACATGAACTGGAAAACATGATGTCTCTGTCCAGAGGACATCAGAAATCAAAAATCCCGTGATTAAACTCAGGCACGAGTCACTCACAAGTACGTGAAGTCTACACATGTTTGCATGACCAGCACTTAAGACTAGAGAAAAAAACAAAACGAACCAATAACAGACATGGGGGAATGCGTGCAGGACAGTGCAGCACCAAAGGCATCCTTGACACGCATTTTTAGCTTATAAAATGCCGGATTTACACGGAAAGCAGTAACCACACAGAGATGGTTTTTTTTCGAAGAGAGGCCGCACACCAACTTTCTTTCTCTTCAGCTTACGGTCGCGACGGCAAAGTCCCCCTTCGCTCCCCCAGGGAAGAGATATTCCGGCTCTGGGAGCCGCAGGCCAGCCGGCACCTCCCTGCCCACAGCCGCGGGAGGACGGACCAGCCTCGCAGCCTGTCCCGGGGGATCTCCAGCGCCCCACGTGCACATCCCGGCCGGGGCCCGATGGGCATATGCCCCGAGATGCCCGGTGCCCGCACATTGCGGTGCCCGCTCCATCCCGCTCCCGCCCCGCGGAACCTCCGGGCAGGTCCCGAGCGCCCCTTCCCCCGCCGCGCCAGCGCTGTCCGGCCCTGCCGCCAGCCCAGCGGCGGGGCCGCCCCCTCCCCGCCCCGGGAGGAGTCCCCACCTCCCGACCACTCCTCCTCCTCCTGCTGGAAGGGGAAATATGAAGCGGAGCCGTCTCCGCGCTGTGCGGAGACGAGCGGGGACGCGGCAGCGGCGGCGCGGGCATCCTCGGTCACCGAGCGGCGGCGGCCGAGCCGGAGCCCTGCCGGGTCGGCGGCGTGCGGGGAGGGAGCCTTGAGGAGCGGCGGCGGCGCCGGCCCGGGAGGGTGCCGCTGGTCCCCGGAGGGTGCCGCTGGTCCCCGGAGGGTGCCGCTGGCCCCCGGGCCGCCAGCCGCCTGCCCCCCAGCGCCGGGCCGTGGGCTGCCCGCGGCGGCGCTGAGGCGCGGGCGGCGCGGCGGGAGTGGCGGCGGCCGGAGCGCAGGAGCGGGCAAGGAGCGCTGCGAGCCGGGGAGATGTCCGCCCCGTACGGCAGCCTCATGCGGTACCTGTTCCCAGCCCTGCTGCTGCACGGTGAGTGCGGGGTGCCCCGAGAAGCGGCTGGGGTGCAGGGGGCCCCAGCGTGTCCCTGGCGGGGGCAGAGGGGCGCGGGTGGGTGTGCTCCCCCGTCGTGGCCGCGGGCACTGGGTGCCGCCCGCCCGGGGCAGAGGTCTGGCAGAGAATGGGAAGCGGGCAGCCCCCGCTGGCTCTGCCTGACCCCCGTGTTAGCGGCACCCCTGAGCAGCACGCCGGCTGGGTAAAACCACGCCGAAAGCGCCCCGCTCCCAAGTGCGTGTCGGCGGCTTGTGCTGCAGCCTGGGACTGCTTGGATGGAGCAGTTGGTTCGGGCACCTCACACAAAGTTTCTTTACTCACCTCCGGGCAGGAGCTGGCGCTGCCGAACTCCGGCGCGTTTGGTCGAGACACCCTGCGGGGCCCGCGTTCCTCCTCTTATCGGGAAAAGTTTTTTTGCCGTGGAGGTGTTATCTGGGAAGCCTTCGGTAGCAAAGAGTGCCAGCACCGGATCTTGTGCCCAACTAAAATTGTTTTGCTGCAGAGCACAAAAATTCTGGGTGTTATTACACACAGTCCTGCTTTGACAGCCTCTCAGTTTAACCCTGGACTGACATCCCTCTGAAATGCCACAGTAGGCAAAATTTTAGTGAGAAAAGTTAGCGTACTTAAACTTGAAAGTTCAGCTTGTAAATTCAATTTAGGTCCTTAAACAGATAACCCATCTTTCCAGAAAGCCGGTGTTCTTCAAGAGAAACTTCTGAAAATGAGGCAGTTTAATGAGCTGCTTAGGTATGTCTAACATTTGGCAGCCAGATTTGAAAAATCTGGGTATGATATCCTTCTGAAAGTGTGACTCAAGCTACTCGGTTACAGCATCATTTTGAAGAGTGTTCCTAATTCTCAAGTCCTTTGTAGCATCCTTCAGAAGAGAAATTTAACAAATTTCTTAGGACCCCAAGCTTAGTCGTAAAAAGAGGATTTTTTTTAACTGTTAAAATGCAAGTGACCTGCATGGATTCAGTGGGAGATCTGTTAGCTGGGGTTAAGGATTTCAAAGCTATTCCTAGGGTTGATTTTGTGGAGCAGGGTTTGTCTCTCTCTGTTTGTACAAGTGCTAAGCACACACTATGGTATTTAATAAATAATAAAGAGAATGGGCTTCTGATAGTATATTTTGTTTAGAGAAAGAAAGAGGCTCTGATCCCCAGGAGGGGGTTTTATAGTCTTCTCACAGCTCAGCTATGAGATCCAGAGAGCATAGAAACATGTTTAGCTGAGCCAGACCTGACAGGACGCCAGAGGTGTTCTTTAGACTCTGTGATCTGAGATGTAAAAGTTGAAATGGGAGACTTGAAGTTAGAGGGTAAAGAGAGGAGGTATAATTGCAGGGTTGGACTCCCTGGCTCATCTGCTTGGAATTACAGAGCAGAGCTGAATGCTGGCTGGAGCAGGAAACAAATCAGGGCTAGTGATCAGATCAAAACAGCAGCTGCCAAAAGAGGATGATGAAGGAAAGTCAGCTATTTCTTCCAGCTGCAGTTATATTTCACCAAATAACATAAACCTAAGTTCTTGTAGAAAGATTCAACTCACTGCCTTGTATATGAAGATGAACACCTTGGTAATGTAGCAGTTAACAGTTTGGATCAGAGTTTCAAGAGTTTGGAAACTACTGCCCTCTTACAAACTTGAAAATTATATCAGTGTCATATAATGCACTGAAACATATCCCATGGAAATGTGTTTACCCTGTTGGCTTTCACTTGGTCTAAAGCTTTTCTGTCCATGCCATAAAGTCAGTAGAAGCATCCTTTGATCAGCAGCTATCCCGAATTGCTAATGTGTAAGAATAACCATCAATCCCAGGGGATTGCAGTGTTAAGCCTCTTTGTGCATGCAGTGTTTTCTTTCTGGATTTCTATTGCATATGGCAATTTAAGGGTTAAAAGTGAGTAAGTGTGTGTGGGTGGTTGAGGATTTTTAGGGCTTAAAGCTTTGTGACACAAGTTAAAATATCCTGTAAGGCTAAAGCTTCTGCTTTCATTACATTAAGAAATGCCTACTTTAATGTCACTGAGCTGAAATTTGGAAAAACTAGTCTTCATTAATCAAAATAAAACCTGTACATGTACAGTGTCACAAAGAAAAAAAAAAAATTGCAGCTGGAAGTTGTCCATTATCACTGTTTTCTTTGCTTAGACAAAAAGCCACAGAAGTTTCAGATGTCAAACACTAAGGTCATTCAACTCCAAAAAACCTGAATAATAAGATCTACGTTCAAGTGGATTCAAAACAAATTTGGCTAATTTCTTTTGTAAAAATAACCTTCTTTTTTTTTTTTTTATAAATATAGATGCTAAAAAAAACCTTCAGTGTATTGCTGATTATGCTACTGTTAGAGTAATGAGTTAGAAATTTGAAAACAATTAGTCGATAACATCATGGAAGTGGTGCTAATAAAGATGATGAGAACAAGACTGATAGGCTTTTCAGAGCAAAACTGTTTATGCTTTGAAAAGTTCTCTGGCAATGTTGCTTAAATTAGTTAAATAGTAATGTTTTATTTCAAAACTTTTTCAGGAAAATAATAAAAAGACCATAAAAAGCCATAAAAAGAACCTATATTGTGCTCTGTGCTAGACACATATGTGATCTGTTTCCTCAGTTAAATAAAGCATTTCAAAATCTGGAAGTCAATAAAAAGATGGGAAGACACACTGCTTAGTGTAAGATTTGGAGAATGTGCAGGGACAGTTGGAAGATGGACTAAGTTTTATTCACAATTTTGTCAGCATGAATTCCATTTCACTCGCTTTTGTAGCTTGACTGTGGGCTAGCACAGTGGTAAGATGTTGATGTCATCAACAGAAAGGGCAATGTTTTTTGTGCTCTGTAGGGTGTCTCTAGAAGGTAGGCTGGCACACAAGTAGCCCAAAAGTAGCCTCAGCCACACTGGAGGCAAATACCTTCAGCTATTCAAGGCAAGGGTAGTATTTCATTAGTGAGGTGATTATTTAGGGCTGATGTAGGGTAGGATTATATGTAGTGAGTTTGTTTAGCACTGTCTTCAGCTGCACACAAGTCCCAGGGGTGTTGGGGGCAGTTCTGCATGAATAAACCCCAGTGCCAAGGTGTGGGTACAGGATGGAGCAGATGTCTCTGGCAGAGAGCAGGTGTTTCTTGCAAAGAGGGCAGGACCAAACCATCATTGATACTGAACTGCACTGACATCCCAGTGCTGCACCCATTCCTCTCAGGGGCAGAGTTCCCACTGCCCTGAAGGAAGATGGGCTTTAACCATTCAGGGTTTCATAAAGAAGCCCTTACTCTGGGCAGTGCCATTTCACCTTGCACAGGTAGCAGCAGCCATCCCAATTAAGAACTTCAGCTAAGCAGAGGTTGTGGGTTGTGCAACTGCTTGGGACTTGTTTCTCTGACCTCTTCCAGGACAGGGCATTGTGTAAGGACCAAGCTGCAGGGTAACAGGGGACCTCCATGCTGGGCCTGTCAGCTTTGAGGAGGTTACTTTTTAGCTGTCCCATGTAAACATACTTTGGATCCCTCCTCAGGATCTTCTGCGCTCTTAAGCATTAATTCTGCCTCTCTTCGAAAGCTGCACTTGGAAACTCTGTGTGCACAAGAGAGGCAACAGATACATGTGAAAGGAAGTCATTGTCCTGTCTGCTTCTCTGGCCATAAAACCCAGCTTTCCTTTCCCAACCCTTTTGTTTGTAGTAGCTAATTTAGGCCCCAGTCTTGTGAGGACCCTTTGAAGTTTGAAGTGCAGGGAAAACACTGGTAAACACAGCTCGTGGCTTGGTAACAGGACATTATATTCTCCATGGCAATTATGTAAGCTTGCACTGGAACTAAAAGCCTGTCATAGGTATTATCTGACACTATCCCACATCAAGAAAGAGCATAATCCAAATGTCTATTTGTTTAATTGTGCAGGGCAACTGCCCAGATAAGGAGAGCTATAAAGTTAATCCAGCCAATTATTCTTTATCTGTTGTAAGGTTTTTCCAGTTTCAAACAAGTTCTAACTTGAAAAGAGATTGCTGCAGGAGTAAAGCATGAACGTTAATTTGTTTCTGTCAGAGATTAAGCCATTGCTTATTTTGAACTTACACTATCACTTGAGGTTGTTTTACTTCATAATAAAATTTTGTTCTTCTGTATTTACATCACTAGAAATTAAAAAAAAAAAAAAAAAAGTTAAGTGGTTCCTGCTGAGCAATTCCAGTCTAAATCCAGGTTTGAATCCTTTGAGGTAACATCTCTTCCCCCATCTAGCAAAGGATGAACCTGCTGAACACCTGGTAGCTTTGAGACTGGTTTGAAGCACCACACTTGGACATGTTCGAAGCCGTGGTTTAGATTCTGGTAGAGACATTCATTAAACTGATAAAATCTAAACAGTTTAAGATAATTTGCCTTACACTTTAGCAGTCTGGCATAGTTGTGAGCAGAATTTGGCCTGGATGTTGAGGCACAAATTAAATTAAAACTATCCGTGTTCAAGCACAACTCTACTTATTATCTTTGTTGCAGTTGTACAGCATTTGCATGCTATTTTTCAGAAAACCAAAACATTCATTCTAGCAGCTTGCAGTTTTTTGCAGAAATGTTGGCAGAGGGCTTTGTCATAACCATTTTTGAAACACGTTTGGGTAACAGGCTGCCAACAGATTGCCCTTTTAAGATTTGTATTTTACTCGCAGCTATGTGCAGAAATCTTTGAAGAACTTGAAAGTAACCTATCTTCCCTTAACAATTATTTTTATCTTGAATGGTTGTTCCCACATCAGATACAGGTTTATAGGTGAACATGAGAGCCTGAAGCCCTCTGTCTGGTGTGGTGCGTGCTCCTATCCACGTCTTTCTGGCATGGCAGCTGTACAGGCCTCCACTTTCCCACTCAGATGGATGTTGGGTCCTGCCCCTGTAAAGTGTGATCTGGGATCACAATCCCTCAAAGATCTGTGTGATCTCTGAGGGTCTGGGCAGGGATCCTCAGTGAGCTGTAGCACCTCTTATGCTGTATTCAATTAGTTTCATGCTAAAGCTGTGTCACTTCTAGGGCTTGGTTTTGAAAGGGAAGCTGGATATCAGCTCATCATAAAATGCTTTTGTTTTGCTACCTGGTATTTCAGGCAGGTTCTGGAATTTTCCTTTTTAGACTTGTTCCTCTGAAAACAAATGCTGTAGGGTGGGGGATATAATCTTAATGATCTCTGGTTGTGGTGTAGCTAAAGTGAGAACCAACCAGAGGCTTCACAAAATTATTGTTATAGATCTCATGCAAAGATTTTTTGTTTGTTTGTTTGAAATCTGTCACACTTTTGAGTTGTAACATAGAGGGTGGATTTTGGTTTTATATTTTTTAGCCAGTGGGTAATATACCTTCATAACACACAAAAATTCAAGTAGTCAGTCAAAGAGAGAGTGTGAAATATTCTCATTCATAATTGAGTCTGAGATACTCAATTATGGAGATACTGAAACCTACCATCTGTCAGTGCTGTAGAGAATAGCAGACTTGGATCTCTCTGAATGAAAGTAATGGCTCCAACTATGTTGCAACTGCATCTACTCTCCAAAGTGGGCTTCTAAAGAGTCATGAAATTCTTTTCCCAGTTTTGTGAATGCATGTTTTAACCTTGAGCCTTTCCAACAGTGTCTCATTTAACATGGCCAAATGGATCTTTTAAAATAAGTGACATCATCCCTGCAGTTCCTCAGTTTTGCAGAACACCTCGTGTGCGCTGCCAAGGGTGGAGCAGGGGGGCACTGCACTGCCTCTGAGCACCTGCTGTGAAGAAAAACACAGAAGATGGTGTTTGATTTACTGGTCTGTGTGGGAAGCATATCACTGGTCTCAGTGTTTGGCCTGCAGATGGTACAAAGGGAAGTTACATCTCATTTGTACGGCAGTTGTATCTACAAAAGTGTTGAAATGACTTCTTTGTAAGGAAGAAGTTTGCACTAAATTAAGTATTTCCTTGCTTCAGCAAGGCAAACATAGGCAAAGTCCCATTTCTGTCTCTTTATTTTATACTGTATTTCTTATTCTGATACCCTGGTCCTTTGATGTTGTTTAGCATTATTGAGAGCAGCCCCAAGGAGAAAGACTTGGAGGTGTTGGTTGATGAGAAGCTCAACACGGCCCAGTAATGTGCACTCAGAGGACAGAAATCCAAACATCCCAGGCTGCATCCAAAGCAGAGTGGGCAGCAGCACAAGTCCCTCTGCTCTGCTTTGCTCTGCTCTGCTCTGCTCTGCTCTGGTGACATCCCACTTAGAGTACTGTGTCCAGTTCTGTGGTCCCCAGCATAAGAAGCATGTGGACATGCTGGAGCAAGTCCAAAGGAGGCCATGAAGATGCTCAGAGGGGTGGAGCAGCTCTCCTATGGCACAGGCTGAGAGAACTGGGGTTGTTCAGCCTGCAGAAGAGAAGGCTCTGGGGGAAGACCTTAGAGCACCTTCCAGTACCTAAAGAGATCCTGCAAGAGAGCTGGAGAGGGATTTTTTACAAAGGCACGTAGTGACAGGACAAGGGGAGCAGCTTTAAAGGGAAAGAGGGCAGGTTTAGATTAGATCTGAATCAAATCCTTTCTTTAGGAAGAAAGTCTTTACTGTGAGGCAGTGGAACAAGTTGCCTAGGAAAGCTGTGGATGCCTCATCCCTGGAAGTGTTCAAGGCCAGGCTGGATGGGGCCTTGACCAGTCTGGTCCTGTTGAAGGTGTCCCTTCTGCCCATGGTCAGGGGGAAGTGGAACTGGGTAATTTTTAAGGTCTCTTCCAACCCAAACCACTCTATGCGTGTGTGTGTTTCTCTCCCTATGTCTCTGCAGCCTTCATTATGTTCTTGTGTCTCTCTTGATTACCTGAATTTGTTCTTGCCTTCACTTATCACAGTTGAATGGATAGAGTCCCAAACAAATACCCTCTTTCCTCTAGGGCTGTCGATGCAAATCTCCCTTCCATTCCCTTGTTGCAGTTTATCATTTGCAAGTTGCAGACAGAACTACATTCATGTGACATGGACATCAGAAATACAATTGGTTTTGAGCTGTATCAAAGAAAAGACACTATATAATATTGCATAAAGTTTGACTCCTTTTCAAAAACTCCTTCTTTTCATTATTTCCTTCAGGGAATAATTGGGAATGTCTTGATGTGGTTACTGCGTTTTCTTCTTTGATATGTGCACATACAAGATGGTGTCCTCCCACAAAAGAATTTTTGCTTGAAGAAATTAAATCCCCAAGTATATCTAAATGAATAAATCATTTCTAAATGCATCTGTATTCATGAGTCATATGACATGAACTAGGCAAAATACGACTGCATGAAAGCAAGTGGTACAATAAATATGCCTTGGAAAATAGCCAGTTGAAAAATTTCAAAACCTTGTTGTGATGGCAAATTTCAAATGTTTAACAACTTCAAAAGGAAATGCAAATTTTCAAAGCCTTTTTTCAGTGTGATATAATTTGTCTGCAGAAGGCACCCTGTTGAAAGTTAGCACTGGTGGCTACAACCTCTGCCACGTACCTTGCTTGGACATGAAGCACAGACCCAGCCTAGTCAATCCTGCCTCTCCAAGGATGTAGTCTGCTCAAGCAGAGCATCACCCTGTCATGGCTATACAATTTCTGGCTGTAGAATGGGCGTTGTTTGGTGCTAGCATGAGTGACTGTGCTCAACAAATGTAGAAATACCTGAGAATTTTCTGACTTCCAGAAAGGAAGAAATATTGAACCCCTGAAAATCAGGCTTCAGTAAGGGCATCTCAGGCACTGTGCTCAAATATCAAAGTATCTCTAGTATTTATTACCCTATAGAAAGCAAGGCCATAAATTCTCATTCACATTGAAGAATTGTTTGTAACCTGCAACATAACAAAGCTATCAGATTTTCCAGAAAAGGTTTTGTGAGGTTGTATTCATTAATCTCATTAAACCCTGGTGTTGTTTCAAATGGTTTTGTTCAATGTTGCTCAATGTTTAGGTTAAGGTATTTATTGTATTCTTTCTGATCATTTTTTACCCTGTCTCTTGGACAAGTCTTTGCTTCTGTTTAGCTGAGGAATTGCTGTTTTTAAATGGTTGACATATATTTATTAATTTTAGCAATGCCAGGTGTTCAGCAGTTCCCAGGTGTTATCCGAGTTTCTTCCAGAAGATCTAAGACCTAGCCAATATAATGAATCACCTTTTTTCCTTTTTTCTTTTTTTTATTTTTTTTTCTTTTTTATTTTTTCCTTTTTTCTTTTTTTTATTTTTTTTCTTTTTTCTTTTTTCTTTTTTTCTTTTTTTTCAATAGGAAATGGGAAAGGCTTAAAAAAAGTATCTACCTAATACCAGGCACATGCCCAAATGTCAGATGGGGCCTGGGGCGTAAAGCATAGGATCCTGTCCTGGGTGATTCTCACTGATGATCCCAAACAGCCCCATTTCTTATCCAGGTCAGCTGAGAAGGCAGCAGAAAATATGGGGATGAATCCTAGACCTGCTCTGGAAGCACATTACAGTGAGACATCCCTTTCCTGAGATGGCTGCCCCAACTTCCCAGGCACTCAAACAACCCCTTCACCCCACCCTTTATCCATTTTGTAGCCCTCTGGTGCTCAAATTCCTTCTGGCAATGTAATACACTTTCCAACACGTTATGTAAGGTTTATGTTTGTCACCTTTTAACCTCTAGATGTGGGGTTTTCTTTTGATCCATGTTTTCCAACAAATCTAAGAGCAGGCTGTGTCTAAAAGAGTAAAGATGCATTTCTTTTGAAGCTATGTATTCATTTTGTTCAATTAATATTGTGTAGAGAGCATGCTGGTGGATTTTGTGTGTATACATTACTAGAAACCAAAATTATTGTGTGCTGGAGATAAAATTAGCTTTTGAAATTCCTTTTCCCCTTTAAAATAAAAATAGAAGGATCTGCCTTTAATTGACCACCTCAGTCATCACAGAGGCTTCCTGTGTGCAGAGGCTTTGCTTTTAATATCTGTTTTCCCTTGACTTTAAAGAGTAGTCTTTATTTGCAAGTTTATTATAGAAGCGTTCAAATTAGAGGTGGGCTGAAACCACAGTGTTTGTGTCTGGATCTGGATGCAACTTTCTGAAAGTTTGAAAGTCTAGGTTTTTGATTGTCCTGACCAGAGATTACAGAGGTGTCTATAAAGTTCAGTTTCAGAGCCACATCTCCTGGGTGTGGAAACATAACACTTCAGTTCGAGCTCTTTTCCCCAGTTTATTTCATAAATTTATGTGGTGGATTATTAGCGGTGTGACAGAAAGGAAGAGCTTCCCATTTTTTTTATTTATTTTTTATTTATTTTTTTTCAGATGAGAAAATAAATGTAAGCAGTCTTTGCCCAGACATATAACAATATGAATAAGTGTTGTTCAACACAAGATGGTCATCACACTGAAGCCCTACTCAGCAGGGTCTCATGATATAATTTACACTTTCTGTCGCAGGGCTGGGAGAAGGTTCTGCTCTTCTTCACCCGGACAGCAGGTCCCACCCTCGGTCCTTGGAGAAGAGTGCCTGGAGGGCTTTCAAGGAGTCACAGTGCCATCATATGCTGAAACACCTTCACAATGGAGCCCGGATCACTGTACAGATGCCTCCCAATATTGAGGGCCACTGGGTCTCTACTGGGTAAGGAAAGATAAAACAAGATGCTTGGGATGGGGAAGAGAAGATGGTAAAGAAGCAGAGAGGGAAGGATGAATATTCCCACTTTCAACAGCAGAAATATTTTAATATGGTGATGCTCTAAATTCCAAATGCTCTCTATATGTTTATAACAGCATTATGTACATTAAAATAGCATGCCATAAAGCTGTCTTGATGAATCAATTTATTTTCTGGATTTTAAACAGCATGCTGTGAACATCTTTAAATCTCCCTGAATAGGAAGGAGCCTACCAAGCTGCCAAAATGGATGCTTGTTCAATCATAACATTGCACTGTATTTGTCTCCACGCATTAAATCCACTGAATGGGTCCTTGTTTTCAGATCATGTGTCTAGCACAGGTTTTATCAGCAAAAGAAATTAAGAAGCTGTATTTCACTAGTCCTGTTACTCTTTATACCTGATGACTGGTATTTCAGAAAGCTCTTTTGCTTTCTGTGTCTCAGCAGGCAATATTCACATGCTCATTGGAGGTGACTTGTAGTGGGAAAGACTGGGTTTATTTAACAGGAGTATATTTCAGGATGAGAGGAAATGGTCTCAAGTTACACCAGGGGAGGTTTAGATTAGATATTAAGAAAGATTTCTTCACTCTAAGAGTGGTCAGGCATTGGAATAGGCTGCCCAGGGAAGTGGTGGAGTTAACATCTCTGGAAGTGTTCAAAAGGCATGTGGATGTGGCACTTGGGATGTGGTTTAGTGGTGAACATTGTGGTGCTCAGTTAACGGCTGGACTCAATGGTCTTAGAGGGCTTTTCCAGCCTTAACAATTCTACAGTTCTGTTTATATTAAGCAGTGCAGAGGTGACAAGGGGAACAAGTTTGAAGGCACAGAAGGGCTCCCTACAGGAAGTGAAATTTAAGTGCCATTTACATTTTCAGAAAAAAAAAAGGGGGGGGGGGAGAGAACCCACAAAACCTGAATATTGTATGGTCCATATTCAAGCCAAATAGAAGTTTTAAATTAACAGAAATTTGCATTAACTGCCACCCCTGTTGAATGTTTGAGTGGAAAAGCTCAGGACATGATCCTGCATATCCAGAGCAGACCAGAGATCATGGAGTTACACAGAGAATCTTCTAGAGCAGCTTATAAGCCAGTTCTTTGTGCTGTTCCCTGGATGTATGGAGTTTCACTTTCTGATGTTATCGGTCATTCTGCTAAATCTACCGTGCAAAAGAGAGCAATAGATGTTTAATAAGCTGCTAGTATTTTCAGTGAAGACTTGAGTCACATGGTGGTCCCTAGACAAAAGGCAAAAGCAAAACACAATTCAAAGTGTACTTAAGCCTATGAGATAAAGCCTTTAGATACGATCACCATGAAGCAGTGTATTAATAGCAGCAGAGGGAATTGTTGGATAATCAGGAGGCCACAGATGCCTTGTTCCTATTTACTCCCATTCCTGCTGAAGGGCTATTAGCACCCAGATGTCTCTGTGAGCCCAAGGGGGTCTTGTTGCCTGTCATATACATGATGTGCCACTTTGTTGAGATTTTGTTTCCACTTTCTTTCCTCCCCACAGCTGTGAAGTCAGAGCAGGCCCAGAGTTCATCACAAGATCTTACAGGTTCTACCACAACAGCACATTCAAGGCCTATCAGTTCTATTACGGTGGCAATCGCTGCACAAACCCCATCTACACCTTAGTCATACGTGGCAAAATTCGTCTCCGACAGGCGTCCTGGATCATCCGGGGGGGCACTGAGGCCGACTATCAGCTCCGCAACATACAGATCATATGCCACAACGAAGCAGTAGCCAAAAAATTAAGTGAGTTGGTGAACCAGACGTGTCCTGGATTTATCCCAGAAGATAGTCCCTGGGAGCAGGATGTGAGCTATGATTTGCTGAGAGAGGAGAACGGCTGTGAATGCACCAAAGCTCTGAATTTTGCCATGCACGAGCTCCAGCTGATCCGTGTGGAGAAGCAGTACCTGCACCACAACTTAGACCACCTCGTGGAGGAACTATTCCTTGGAGACATTCACACTGATGCTACTCAGAGGAGGTACTATCGGCCCTCTAGTTACCAACCTCCTCTTCAAAATGCCAAGGTACGTGGTGGGGGGGGTTTGCATATATCCTCTCTATAAGATACTGGTGACAAAGCCCAAATCATCTAAAATGTAGAGGTGCTTCTAATACAGGGGGTTGATTATAGCTTTAATTAACAGAGGATAACTCACTTTGTGAGAACAGTAACTTTGCTGTGGTTTATGTGACTGCAAATACGCAAATAAAGTAATCTCGTGAAGTAAACTCAACAAAGGCCACTCTGAAGATGGAATCATAGACTTGTAGGCAGAAGTGGGAGTGGATGGCTGGGACCATGGCCAGCTCTAGACTAGCAGCTGAGAGGAAGGTTTCATACAGCACTGAGGTAGCAGAGGAGGAACAATCATCAGTAGATACTTCTATAGCTGTGAGGGGGGCAGGAAGAGAGGAAATGGAATATGAATATCAGCATATGGAAGTTGGGTGATCCATAACCTGGAGAGGAGACAAGGAAATTGGAAGGTAAACACATGGACGGGGCAGCATGAAGGGAAAAAACTGATGGATCCAGACTTAGGCACACACATTAATGAAATGAAAAACAGGTGAATTTTAAATCGGGCCCTAATTCCATTTGATAATTCAGTTTTCAAAGGGACCCCAAAGTGCCCTCAGCTTCATCGGGAACAGATCCAACCCATAGGAAGGTAAATAAAACTCAACAGGAAGCACAGGCAGTGATGGCCTGTAGCAGGAAGGCTGCCATAGGTCTTTCCCAGTGACATTTCAAAGGCAGGCAGCAATTGGAACCACATTGCCAGGTGCTGCTGCCGTCGGTGTGCTCCAGCTGGGCATTGCCACAGCACCTCTTCCAGAAAATTACCACCATTTTTAATCATCTCATCACAAATGGTTCAAAAATCAGTTGCAGCTTATCAGCAATAGCAGGAAATGCAACAGGAGAAGGGACAGTTTTGATGAAAAAGCCTTGGCTTTCCCTTCCATTCAAAACCATCTGTCCTGGGTTGTTTCTGTCTCCTGTGAAAAAAAATATTTTAGTAGGTTAGGTCCTTATGTGATCTGCCTTTAATTGCTTTGTAGCCTGGCCTAGGGATCATTTTAATCCACAGTAGACTGTTTTGCTGTATGAAAACTGCAGTTATTTCTGTCATTCTTACGCTGTCTTCAAGTGACTAAGGACAGATTTGAGTTTTCTTTTTAAACTTACCTTCCCAAAATAGTGAGTTGCAGCAGATGTACCACAGCACAATCCTCTGCAAAATTTTGATTGTCTTTAATTGATTCAAACAACCACATCAACCTTCACTTTACTGATCTGGGAGTGAGGGTTCTTTGCTAAATCTCTTCCTTGCAGGTATCTTTAGATAGAAGTTATCAGACACCAGCTATATTGTATCTTTTCTAGAAAATATTGTAGATCTTTTTCCGACCGCTTGAAACAGAGACAAAATCTTGATTTAAGTCTCTGTAGCTGAGTATTATTTCTGGTCTAATCTAGGTGTTTTATTCTGGCCTGATATGTGAGATAGTAACATTGTTACCTTGTAGTAACCAAGTTACCATGTAGTAATTTCATTACAGTCAGAGCAGTCAGATGTATTTTCAGCCAGCTTTAGAAAATTAAGATTGTTGTCCAGGCCTGCTGTAATTTTAAGGTAATGATTTTCCTGCCTGTCTGTTCTGCTACTGTAGCATCCCTTTTTCTCTCTAAAATATAGTGGCTCTAAAATAGAATGTTCAAATTTAAGGGGCCAAATTTTGCATATATGTCTCATGTTTCTTGAGACAGGTCAGCTAAGAGAAGCTGGGCCTGCTGATACTAGGCTTTCAGCATGATAGTAAACAGCAATACCCCTAAAAAATTAACCTTTGCTTTAGCTGCTGTGAAAGATTCCAGGATGTGGGTTTGTTGGTTTGTACCTAAGCATGAAGATCCCTATACCAACAGGTTCTCAACAGACTCTCTGACCTAGTGTTTGCCAAATGTAGGAAGAATAGTAACAGAAGTGCTTTTTTCTTTTTTTTCTTGAAGTCCAGGCAAACATACCGTTGAAAGGTTATAACCCTTCCTTTTGGAACTCTTTTCCTTTTTTAATTGTTGCTCCACTGGGACCCAGCTGAAAATGAGTTTAAATGCTAAATTGAGTTTAAAACTACAAGTCACAGGCTCCTCTGGAAACTGGACACCATGAATAAATAGAAACGTTAAATCAACTTGTTTTTTTAAGGTTTCTACAGTCATACCAAGAGGTTGTGAAGGCCAGGAAATTGCTTCTGAAGTGAATCAGGTGTATTGTGTGGAATCTTTCATTTAAGGCTTTCTTCATTTCCTTTTTATTTATTTATATTTTAGACTCATAAAGGCCTGCCTAAAATAAGTTGAGAGGATTCACATTTTGAGTTAAATTTATAGTTAAGCCTCTATATAGAAGAAAGTTCCACCCAGCCCAAGAGTTTACACAGCCTGTAAGTTGGATGTGGTAGCCACATTCATTACTTATGTGGTTGAAATGAATGGTAATTAAAAGCAAATGATTGCTGGATATGTCAGGAATGCCAAAGCCACATGATCAGAACTTTAAACAAACAGAATTGGACCTTATCCAAATTCCTGCAGCGATTTCACCACGGGATGGTAAATCAAAAGGGCTGTCCAAAAACCAGACAGCTTTATGCTGAGCTACAAATCTGAATAAATTCACAGATTACCATATCTCAAGTGTTCATATAAAATCAGGGAGCTTTTAAAAACATATAATATGTCATCTCTTAAGGCTTTACAAATTCTCTTAGATAAGAACATACCTTAAACAAATTCCTCATGTAAAATACATGGACGTTCTTGAGTGTAGATGATGAATGGGTCACAATATAGGTTTATCTTGTCTGTTTTCTAACCTGGCTGAAGATACTAGTTAGGACTGGCTGATGAATGGACATGAACATCTTTGATGTCTCTTGACGTTGCAAGTTTATCAAGTGACTCAAGCTATCACACAAGGGGCTTCTTCAGCCAGCATGAGAGAGCACATGGGTGGGAAGGGCAAGATGGGGGAACTGCTTGGCCATCATCACATATATTACACAAAATGTTCCCAATTAGGACAACACCAAGGAGGCTGCCTTGATTGGTTGTAATATCACAAAAGTATACAGGGATTTGTAGCATGAAGGAAGGCTTGAATGCAATATTCTTTCTCTGTGCAGGACAGAAAATTTCTTCAGAAGTGTCTGCTCTCAACTACAGAAAATGCAGTACTGGGAGACTTACTTCACATGTAATTGCCTCAGCAATATTGCTTTGTAAACAAAGAACTCCTTGTGCTGTTTTCTCATGTGACAGAGTAACGGGAAATATCAGAGCAGGACTGTGATGACCGGTCATTCTGGTTAGATCATTACTTAAGAATAAGGCTGACATGGTCTGGAACATCACAAGAAACCTAAAAATTGCTAGGATAACCTTCACTCTGTCCTGCTCAATCAGTTGCTGGACACACTCTTTCACTGAAATGTTTTTCCTTTAAAATGTGACTCTAATGAATCAATTCTCTATTACAACTTTATTTATCTCTGGGACCTACCTGACTTCCAGCAGCACCTGGAATTTGCAGTTGATACAGATTCAGTGTGTGGAGGTTGGTGATTGTGCTTTCCTTTAGCCAAGAAAGAGCAAAGTGTGCCAAGTTTTCTGTGCTTTTCAAAAAGTAGAGTCTTCATCTCTTTGAAACACAGTGACTTCATCTCTAGGGGAATGCTATGTACTTGTGAAGCTCCCAGGGAAATGCAATTGTAAGTTAATAAATAGATGTTAAACATGTGAAGCGCCTCAGAGAAATATGCAAAACTCGACCAAAAAGTACAATTTTGGCAGACAGAACTCCTTTGTTTGCCTGAGTAGTGCCACTAACTTCTACATTAAGGCAACACTTAAAGGGTGCCTTTTGTCCATTATTACTTGAAAAGGGCTCTTGACTAGGAAAATTATGAGGGGAAGCAAAGTAGGAATATTCAGAAGAGTGCTCAAATGGGTTAATTCCAGGTTTATGAACAATAACAGTGTGTGTGGTGCCCTATGGAGATGAGGAAGCAAGCAGCTTTTGGCTGAGGTTGGCCCTTGCCGTGCTCGGCAGCGCTGTCGGCCGTGGCCCTGCGCCTTTGAAGCTTCCACATCTGCACTTACCACTGTCTGCTCTGCAGCTGCAGTAAAGCCTGTCCCAGCTCAAAATGCAGGAATCAAAATTAACTATTTAGCCGAGTGAAATAAACCCCAGGCCTTCAGGTCAACTCAGTATGTGTATCTAAACTACTGACACCTTCCTTACGGTTGGCGTCTAAGCACAGTGGCTTCATCTTTTGTAAAAGGGCAGGGAAGACTCAGTGGTAATATTGCATGGTTTAGAAGGCAGTATAGGATGCTTTTTAAAGGCATAATAAATACATAAGGCAGGTTTATTTAGGAATACTTTATTCTTGAAAATGAACATTCAAGCTCTCCCTTCAGGTTTTCCAGAAATTATTTTTGTTAATACTTCATAAAACAGTAATGTCACCATAATTTAGTATCATTTTAATGGGACAGATGACATGCAAGCACATTCATCTGTGAAGTCTGGTTTTCTCTTTGTTCTTTTCTTTTGCCCAGGCTAAAGTCGTTTATACCAGAAAAGAACAACCAGAAGACTTTTGCATTTCATGTTGGTTTTGTTTATTTCAGTTTTATGCAGGGTTGTGCAACAGAATCAACATCATAGATCAGACAGTTGTGTAATAGTCGTGCCTTGAGATTCCTCCACTATCTTTCCCTTCATAAGAGCAGTTAATAAAAACCATTCCTCAATATCTTAGAATATATGGTACGCATTTACAGATAAATCTGAGCATATCTCCACCCTTCTTCCTGCTGCAGCACCTCTGTTCCCCACCAAAAGAAATATCCATCTGACAACTCTGCAAAGGAGTTACTGCTCTCTCCAGCATTTTACTTGCCTCAAGATTTTTAATTAAAGTTTTAAATCTTCGTTTTGCTTCATTCCATTTGGCAGGCTGAGTTATAACTGTGTCAGCCGTGCTTGTCAACTCCCCAGAGCCAGGCTAATGCACATTAGTCAGCTCAGCTTCATATGAGGTCATGCAAAGCCTGCAAATTATCACTTTTGTACTGGAGAGGATTTTTGGTCATTTTTTAAAGTGTTGTCTTGGTCTGCAGTTACCTACAGTGGTGGAGGAGCGAGCCTGATACTATCCTGAGCAATTCATAAACATGTCCTTCCTGTGGACTTGGCTCCTTGGCAATGTGGAGCAAAGCCATCCAACTTTTTTTTGTTGAGCTGGAAGCATTTCCTTGAATTGATGTTCTCCCAAGAATTTCCATTTATACTCATCCTGGGAGCGCTAGTTACTAACACTAACACCTGGTACTGTGTTTCCTTGCGTGGTGAGGTTTAAAACATTCTGACCAGGCATGACTCATTCCAGTCCCACCTAGTGCTGCCCATGACATGTGGTATTTGGGAAGTGTGCAAGACCATAGCTGAGTGTGGCTTTTCTCTCCCCTCTTCTTCAGGACTTCCCCTCACGGTAATACATATGTAATGTAAATGCATTCACATGGCAGGGGTTTCCTATGCCAGCTTTTGTGGCTGTTGGCCCCTACAACATCCCGGGATACTGGTTAGATCTGTACTGCACACCCAGTTCAAGCCTGAGCCCGTGCTTGAGGAATTCTGATGCCTGGTCCTTCGTCTCACATCTCCCTGCAACAAGGATATGCTGGGTACAACATGACAGACCCAGTCACATGCTCTGTGATGTCAGATGTCAGCCAATGTCAGATAATTAGTCCTAGACAGCCATAGAATTCCACGGAACTTAAGAGAAAATTAAATTGTGCTGGGAGGGTTTATGTTTCCAACTATCCATAGCAATTGGAAAAAGATGAAGGAACCTCATCCTTGTTTGCTTTTTTTTTTATTAGAATCCCCCTTGTTTGGCTTCCAGTGCTCTCTGGCCTTACTACCATGTCAGCTGAAACAGCAGGAGAGAGTGATAAGAAAAAAATATTAGTGGAAATTTTCAGATCCTAAGCTATTTTCTCCCCAGCTACAAAAACTGAGTTTTCAGCCAGAGATTCAGGCTTGTTTTGGCACACATGGCATTGTGGATTAGTTCAGAAAATGCCTTTAAAGAAACACCTGGAAGGATGAGGAATGGTGACACTATGGCTTTGGCATTGCAAAACTGCGAAGAGCCGCCCATCATGATAAGGGATCTTCCAGCTATTTCAGAGCCCAGTCCTCCCAGCAAGGTCCCACTATTAAAAATATTGCACTGTGCACATAAGATAATCAGAACATAGAACCCATGTTCATCCTGTCCTCTGCTTATTTTATTGCTTTTTAGTTTATGTCATGCCCTAGTGAGCTTTTTATTAGAGAGTTCTTGATAATGTTTGGACTCAAACATCCTCTGTCTCTGTTCCTTATTTTCTTTGAATGCCTGTTTTTAGAAAATAACCTTCCTCTGAAACACATGGAAAGGGATTTGCAAAGCCTCAGATAGCGTAATTAAGATCCAAGAGCAGCTGACCTAAAAAAGCAAGAGTGAAATATACAGTCAATTGTTAAACATAAATTACTCCGTAATTAAGTCAAATTGCCTCATAACAGAACTAGCTTTTTCCCTTGCCCATTACTTGGGCAACAATCATACTGAGACAAGTTTATACGTGGCATATTCTTCCACTAAGAAGTTTATAATGTGAAAAATAGTATCACAGCAAAAAAGGTTTATGTGGGCATCGATTCAAATGCTGGTCCCAGGAAAGCGATGCATTCAGAGGACATCCATGTGAGGGGCCAGAGCCAGCTGGTGTCTCACCACCAAAGGGATGCTTCTGCTTCCTCTCTCACCACCCCAGCTTTTCCCTGCTGCACTCACTCTTCAATGCAAAAAGTGCCTGGTTCCCTCAGCCCTTCTTTTGGGCACACCTTAGCAGCCCAACTGGCCAGACCTTCCCAGCTGGTGCAAAGCCTTTAGAATTAGAAGGGCTGCACAGAGTTACAGTACAGGACCACAGCGGTCAAAGAGCTAGGTGAACTACAGACAAGTAACAGAGAGTTAACAAGGACCTTCCTAGAGTTTGCCAAAGGAGTCACTTCTGCTCGCAGTGTAATGGTGGCCAGTGGTGACCAAAAAAGAAAACAGGCTGAGTTGTTGTTTGGTTTTCTTTTTGAACAAGGGTGACAGAAATCACATGTTCCCAGATTAAATTAGCTTGGTTCACAGATTGTTTTTGGAGGACAGATTCCTGGGAGAAAAATGTGAATATGAACCGAACCAATCTACTGCTCTGCCAGGGTGTCCTCTGGGACATGATAGAAGCTTTGAAATTCACTTCAGCAGAGAAGGGACTGTAGCAGAAGTTCTCTCCTACTATTGACAGATTCAGCTCATATAAGCTATGTTTAGTTTTATAGCACTGTCTTTTTATCGCTTTCTGGCTTCACTTTATGTGAGTGGGGCAATCCCAGCCATGAAGTTACTGTCATCAGTGCCCTTAATGTGTCAGGGAACAGTGCAGCCAGTCTGCCCCATGGCAGGACAGAAACGTGTGGTTAAAAGGCACTGGCATCTTAATCTCTGGGGAGAAGAAGCATTATTTCTATTAAAATTGAAAGATACTTTTTGAATATATCTGCACTAACTTGACCAGTTGCAGTTAAATTACTCAATTAAATGTTTGTATTTCATTAAGGTACTAATGGACCTTGCACCTGCTTGTAGAATTTAGCTGAAAAAACCCCCATATCTTAAAATCTGGTAACAAGCTCCACAGGGAAAGTACTACATCCACTTTAAGAACATGTTGGCATGTGGTCTCCAGAAGACTATGTGTTTTGGGGTGGAAAGACTCTGAGGAGGTCACCAAGTCCAACCTTCTTCATCCTCAGAGCAGGGCTATCAGCCAGCACTGGTCCGGAACAACCAACACAGATATCTTGTGCCTTCATCTCTCAATGACACTCCTCGATCCTTCCTGGAGAGGAGGGGATGCACTGGGGGGTTACTCACATCCTCCACATTCAAGCTATGAAGTGTTTTCCTGAGATGCATCGAGTTGAGAGCTAAAACTCAACATGCAGCCATCTGGGAGATTTACAGAAATACTTTTTCTTTCCAGCCCTCTTTTCTGAGGCCTCTGTGAGCACCCTCCATAACATAAATGCTCATATTCACTGCTCTTACTTTAAAGTCCACATGAGCTGCTATGAAGTCAGCATTTCTCCACTCACTGCCTTCAGCTCCGGCTCACTTTAGGGGTGACATTCACACAATCTTCATTAGTGCCCTGAATTCCTCCAATAAAACGACCATAGGTAGCTTCAGAGAATCAACGTACAACACCCACAATATATTTATTTTATACATATTAAAGAGGGTTTATATTTACCCCATCCCAGGCCAGATAGTCATCCAAAGTCTTTTCACCAATAGTGAAATCAATTAAATGGCTGCTGTAGTCTATGTCCCTGGGATGTAGAGTAATGGTCTATGTGCAAAGTAACTATAAATGGTGTTGCTCAGGAGGTGGAAGCCTCAGCCTGAAATTTCCTCCACTCCTGCCACAGACTTGGAGCCTGCAGATGCTTCCCAGGACACCCCAGGTAGTCACATTTGGGGCTGGGGTACTTGGCTGCTTGAGGCTGCTGCATGGCCCACAGTGGTGAGCCACCCTGGACCACTGATCCTGCTGGAGAGGGCCATAAAGCTCATAAAGTTCAAAAAGCACTGGTTACTGTTCTCCCAAGGTGCCATCCAAAACAAAAGAAGTCCTTATGACACACATATTTATCTACAGTACTTAAAGAAAGACAGATGAATAAGGCTTCAGCAAATATATTGATTTCTGACACAAGCGTTGCAAAATCCCTATCATAGTAAATTACCATCTGCCAGCTTCTTGTATGATCTGAAGGATAAAGTCAGCCTTTTCTAGATCCTGAACTAAAATGTTGATTTCAGATAAATGCAGACAAGGGAATTAAAGTCTTACATGCTCCTCTGCTGTGCAATGTTACACACAAAACCAAATGGTGCCACTAATAAGATCAGAAATGATGATGCATTCCTTAAAATCTGGAGCTGGCGTCACTTCAGCAAGAAGTGGCTGGCCTGATGAATTGCCCTGTATCCCAGGTGATGCCTACTTAGCGTTTCTGTGCTTTGTTTCAGAACCACGACCGCACGTGCATCGCGTGCAGAATCATCTACCGCTCGGACGAGCACCACCCACCCATCCTGCCCCCCAAGGCAGACCTGACCATCGGGCTGCACGGAGAGTGGGTGAGCCAGCGCTGTGAGGTGCGGCCAGAGGTGCTCTTCCTGACTCGGCACTTCATCTTCCACGACAACAACAACACTTGGGAGGGCCACTACTACCACTACTCTGACCCCATCTGCAAACACCCCACCTTCACCATCTATGCCAAGGGACGCTACAGCCGGGGAGTCCACTCGTCCAAAGTCATGGGTGGCACGGAGTTTGTGTTCAAAGGTAAAGCAGCTTGATACAATGGGGGGGGAGGTAGTTATGGACCAAAGCAGTTTGCTCATAATGACTTGACTGCTGATGATTTCAATCTGTGATTTTCAGGAGTTCATCGTTTCTTGGGAAGTTTGCAGGCATTGTGTGAGTGCCCAGCCAAACTATATATACAGCTATATACACTATATACAGCTACTGTATATACAGCTGCATGGCATTTCACACTGCTGAAGCAATATTCATTTGAGGCAGAGGTCTTTAAGTACACACAAGAAAGTAAGATTTCACATTACTTAGTGATTGTGAAGTCCAGTGGCCAAATGTCAAGCCTCTAAGAGAAGTGGTTAGATCTGTGTCCTAGGGCTCCTTCAGTAGACAGAGAAAAAAGCATCTTCAGAAGGCATTTCAGATCTGAAGCAATATAAATAATTTTCTGTGGAAGACAGATGCAGCAGCATACATCTTTTCATGTGCTCCCAAGGGGCCCTCAAGCAATAAGAGTGTCCCTAAAGACAGCTCTGATTAAAGATGCCAGAGCGAAGACAAGATGTATCCAGCCCAAACTCATTGAGTACTTTGGAAAGCAGCTCTCGGTGGTGACACCACCCATGGCTGAGAAGCTTTCCTGCACAAACAGCCCCATGGCACCCTACTTAAAAAGAGCTCAGGGGCCTGAACCACTCACACAAACAAACATCTCCAAAACACAACATCCCACCATGGCACCAGCCCCAGCGGAGCCTCTGGTAGCCTCAAGCTCTCTGTAGGCTCGTCTCCTTATTTCAATTACATTAGAAGCATAAAGTATCTTGCATGGGTCTAATTTAGGAAAGCATCCAACTAGAAATAATTTACTAATCTGAGATTTTTGTAGGAGGTGGGAGATACCCTTGCCTGTCAGAACTTTGGCTCTTTCAAGCTGCATGTGCATCATGTCCCAGCTCAGCTCCTGGCATGAAATCCAGTTTCTGGTTGCATTTCTGGTTTATGTTGTGCCAACTTACCTTACAGATCAAGGTCACTAATTCGGCTTAGGTAAAACTTTCAGGTTCAATTTCTATAAATTACCTTTTACACCAGCTAGAGAAAATAATGTGAACTGTAGAGCCATCAAGTCAAATGGCTGTTTATAAAAGCTCAGGAAAAGCTCCCAACAAATCTTACTATAAAATGATCTGCAAGAGAATTTGGGAATTTGGTATGTTGGGAGGCATGAGAGATGGTTATTTGCTTCTGTATTGGTCAGCACCAATCTGTTCAGATCCCATTTTCTTGATATCAAGTGTCAAACACAGACCAGGAAAAATCTCAGTTCAGCTTCTGCAGGCTCATTCATTTTGGTTTTTCCTAACTTTTTTAACTTGGCTGGAAAATTAAACTTTATATGCCTTAAACTCCTTTGAAATACAAGCAGGTTAGAATTAAAGAAGCTGCAGCGGTTCTACATTTGATACTGCAACCTGTAGCTAGTGTTTAGAGATGAGAAAAAACATCTTTCCGTAGGTCATCTATATTTTATAATTCATGCAAAAAAGGACAGGCAATATAGGATGATTGTGCAACTGTGGTATTTTCCAAATTTCCCAATGGGAACTAATTATTTTATTAGGTTTACAGAGTAGCTAGCAAATGTTAAGAAATGAAGAAAAATATGTGATAAATGCACCACTTACAAATTAAGGCAGATGGTAATAAAACATGAGTAAAGTTTTATTGTTTCCTCTTTTCCCTATCTCCTAGTATAACCAGCTAGGCTTTATCTGTAAAGGATTGTCTGGAATTTATGAAAAGCTCTGCTTAATCTCTGGCTAAGATATGTGGCCATCAGGTTTTCTTCAACTGATTTGGAGGGGGGTCTGTGCAAGAAGCAGTTTTTGCACAGATAAAGACATAAAATGATGCTCATAGATTTGCTGGGCACACCTGTAATGTGAAAAAATTAATTTAAGATGGAACAAGGGGTGACAATTTTGATTTAACAGGTGTGCCCCAATCTTCATCTTTGCTTTGCTTTGTTTCTGTTTTTGTCCCTCTGCTAACAGTTCCCCCCTTCCTCTCTCACAGTGAATCACATGAAGGTCACTCCCATGGATATATCCACAGCCTCGCTGCTCAACGTCTTCAATGGGAATGAGTGTGGAGCACAGGGATCCTGGCAGGTTGGGGTTCAGCAGGATGTCACCCATACGAACGGCTGCATCGCACTCGGCATCCGCCTACCTCACACCGAGTATGAAATCTTCAAGATGGAGCAGGATGCCCGGGGCAGGTACCTGCTGTACAATGGACAGAGACCGAGCGACGGCTCCAGCCCTGACCGACCCGAGAAAAGAGCCACTTCCTACCAGATGCCTTTAATTCAGTGTGCCTCATCAGTACCCAGATCCGAAGAGTCACCAGAGGAGAATAAAATCAGGCTGTATAGCAGCAGGGCTCCGGAAAAATATCCCAGCACCCCAGCTCTTGCTTTGTTGTTTATTTGTACTGTGTCATATTGGGACATTCTCAGCTAGAAGCAAGGAAAACTTACTTTTCATGACTACAAAGCCAGGATTCCACCAGACTGGGGGTTGTTTTTCTTCAGACAGAAAAGGACATTTATTTTCTTGATGCACTTGAATGCCTGAGAACTGTTGTTCTTTTCCTTACTTCCCTCTTCCTCCTCGAATCCCGAACGGCACTCGTTTGATGTTTGTGCTTTGAACTTCATCCAGTCTGATCCCTGGCCTGACACGACTGCACAAAAGTAATTGCACTTTAGGACTGCAGACTTCTGGGGGGAGGGAGGGGGTCTCCTTTTATTATTTTTTTTTTTTATTTTTTTTTAAACTGCTAGGATGAACTTTATGATCCTGCTTCAGTCATCTCTGCCATCTCACTGTTGTGGTACTCTTATCCCAAACACTCAGTTTCTCATCAGAATTTAGCTCTGGGGAAGGGCTCGGTGTTGTGCCAGTACTGTAATAGCAGCTTCCCCCTCTGACTTCACAGCTCTGATGTAGATATGTATATAAGGAGGAAATCCACAAAGATTTATCTTGCCATTATCTAGCGGCTCATAATACAGAAAGAATCAGCAAATCAACAGCCCTCTGTTCAAAAAGTGCTAAATGATTGATACCCCTAATTAAAATTAAAAAAATACTCCAAGTAATTTAAGATATTTTTACAATCATTAAGTTGTAAAAATAACCAGTGGCTTAGGATTTTCACATTCAATTAACTTAGCTGTGTAATTGCTTTGAGGCCTCCCTTTGTATCTAGTAAGTAGTTACAACTAAGCCCCCTCAAAGCCAGCCAGCAGCAGCAGTTTTCCTGTCAATGCACAGAGTTCAGGTAAGCTGCAGGAAAGACTTCTCTTCCCATATTCCTGAGGCCTTACATACTCCACGTGCAGTACTTGGATCAGCTGGGTGGGCAGAGTAAAGCAAGTGGGATCTAATGTGTTCTGCAGCCCTATTTAGCAGCATCTTTTTAGTCATGTGATCTCATGTAAGAACAGGGAAAAGGGTAACAGCAGCAAGCAGACCGTGGTCCCTGGTAGAGCAAGAAAGCAGCAGGAAACACACTCTTAGATGGAGGAATACCAGCCCAGTCTTACAGAGGGAGGAGCAAGAGATGCACTAATGCAACCACATTCTTTCTTTTCTCCTTGCTGAACTGTCCCAATGCATGCCACAGTTTCATAGATCTTAAATTAGCACTGGTTTGGGAAGACACTGCTGGGAAGGTGGATAGACACAGCCTACAGAGAGCATTTGTCAACTAGAGCCTACCCTGGAAATTCTCAGGTTTCCCTCAGTGGTGAATACATCCTTTTGTGCACTGATGCAAATCAGAGCAGACTCTGGAAGCAGCAGGGGAGATGTTTAAGGCCAGCAAGGAGTTAGAAGTTCATACATGAACAATGCTCCCCTGCTTTAATGGAGAGTGAACTGAAAGAATATCTTCATCTTGCGTTTGGGCTGTGGCTTTTACTGATGTACGTGATTTAGCTTGCAGGCGGAGCAGGAACATCTGTGAGAAACATAAGGATTGAAGTTGTAGCATTTCTTCACAGTATAAGCTAGCTACCCAGCCCAGTACTGTGTCGGAAAAAGAACCTTTAATGTATTATTTTCATCATCCTAGGAAAAGTATGTTTTGAATGAACATCTTTCAACTTTACACAGTGAGTCTTCATACTGGCTTCTATAGCAAAAGCATTCCTTGAAAACATGGATGTGAATTTCCCCAGAGCTGGAACAAATCAGTTCACCTAGTTTTGAGACAGCAGGAAGACAGAGAGAAGGAGCAGTATCACAGATAGACACGCTGCTGAGTCAGACTGCATCTTTAATGTTTTTTCCTCAGACAAATGAAAAGTCATAGAAAACTGTTACTTAAGAGTCAGGAATGGAGCTCAGATTGGCTCAGTAGTCATCAGAGAAAGTGTTTATCCATCCACCTGATGTCAGATCCCCTTTCAGCCTGTTGGAAGGATCTGAAAGCCAGCTCACTGTGGTGAATTGAGCCCTATGAGCAACAGCTGTTCTTGATGGCTTTCTGCTCCATGCAGTCAAACCTACTTGAAGAGCCAGCTCTGGATCAGTTGCTGGTGGGAGGCACAGTTTTAACTAGTGGGTCCAGAAGGAGACAGGATTCCTCTGTGACAGAGTAGTTACAAACCAGCATGGAGTTTGGTTTTCTCTAGGTTGAGTTTTGTAGTCAGCAGGGTGACACCAGCATATCTCTAACTGGGTTACTGAGCTGTTACAGTCAAACAAGTCCCCTAAGTACCTGCTGCATTTCTGACTGATATTTGAGATCTAGTGGCAGGAGTGAATTCATACCAGTTTTTATTTAAAAGGATGAGTATTGTATGGAATTCCTTAGATCACACAATACAAGCTGCTTTCACCACCATCACCCATTCATTCCCATGTGGTCCTATCTCTGAAAAAATATCTATGGTTTGAAGCTGTCAGACTATGTCACTTGCCAATGCAAGTGCCACACACAGCTTGATCCCAGCTGAAATCTGCACATGCTTGTGATGCAGGATGAAAGCAAAGACCAAAGGAACTGTTCCACAGCACAATTTTCTATATTCATTGGGGCAATCATCTACAGTTTATTAGTGCCTTGTGGCTCCTCTGTAAATTGTCTAATGTTAAAAATGTTGCAACAGTTTCAATAGAAAGATCTGTCTAGTTGTAACCTCTGAAAATGCATTCATGTCTCAGCTGTTTTGAACCACAGACTTGCAAAGGTCTAGGTTTTCCAAGGTTTATGGTTAGACTACATGAAAATGTGGCTCACTGTACAAATTGTACAATAGATGCTCTTTTTTTTCCTGTTATTTAAAGACACTTAAAAAGGAAGTATTTTTAAAAGGTCTTCACAATGCATTACATGAAATCTGACTGGGGATTTCTGTAGTTTATTTGTAGTGTTGACCAGAAACATAATTTTATGATCTGGGTTCTTAGCATTTGCTACACCAGCTTCCCTCCACGTGCCTATATATTTTTAATTTTTCTGTTAGCCAATACAAGTCAAGTTGAACAAAGCTGTAAGTCTTCAGAGTGCATAGTTTATGTGCTAGCCTGTATTTTCTGTGAGGCTTCTCCTTGCTTGCAGGCACAGAACGAGGAGCTAAGCTTACCCCCTCTTTTGGTTTCATCACTCACTAAATTAACTGCTGCACAGCACCACATACATATGTGACACAATATATTCCATTCATTTTATTTCTCCAGCCTGACTTCATGTGATGGCAGTCCTGTCTGCTAAAGAAGTTAAGCTGCAAGTGGTTTAGCAGTGGAAGACCTGCAAACTGGGTGATTTATCCCTTGCTGAAATGCAGAAGGTTTAAAAAAAATGAATCCATTAACATTGGTACCTTCAGCTGCTGCAAATGTTGCCAAGGCAGGTGAAAGCTTTTCCCTCAGTAATATCCTACTCAAGGATCCACCTGACAGAAGAAATGGCAACCTTAAGAAATTCTTAGGCAAATAGTTTTTAAGATGCTCTATTCAAGAAATAGGACAAAAGGGATCAGAAGAGTCAAAACAAGTGTTCTTGCTCTGTTTCTATACATTTTACATATTGTGCCTGCTGTCCTGGGGTAGAATGTCATTTCTATGAACAGAAGTCTGTATTTTAGGATATAATGTCAGTCTTGCTTGAGTCGGAGTGTGCTTGCCTAAAGTGCAGGATTTTAAAAGAAAAAAAATCTCTTTATTTTTGTAAGGTTATAGAAGATATTTTTCTTCTCAACTATGTTCCAGATTAAACTGCTGGGGAAGTTTAAGCACTTGTTAAACTATTGATTGAAATAAAAAAAAAAAGCTTAAGTGTAAAATTAAGGACTTCTTTGCCTCCTCTACGTGTTAGTTTTGTGTTCTGTTGACTTTCTAAGTGTAAAAAAAAATGTTAGGTGTCTTGGAAAGAAACAGCCAAAAACCTGACTGTTGAGTAACTTGTGCACAGAAAAGCTTATTTTTTTACTACATACACAAGAAAACATTTTTTGTTTCCAAACATATCTGTCACTAGGAACAGTTCTGATGGATGCAGATATGGGATTTGGGGTTCACAGCACATCTTCAGGTTTTCTGAATAAAATCGTGGCTGGAGGTGCCCAGTGAGTAATGATGGTGTTGAAGCCTGAAACAAAACATGAAGGGAAAGCAAGACACAGGGTAACAGAAGTGTCTTTGCTCAGTGCTCTGCAGTTTCACTCCCTCCTCACACACAGAAAGAGTCTTTGAGCCTTCCAACACCACTATCAAAAGCTTTGGAGTTTACCAATTCCTGAGTTTTTCTAAGTGACTCAGGAGATCCCTGAAAGATGAGTTCTCTTTTCAGGAAGTATGCTCGAAATTACAAGGTACCGCAAGTGCAGTAGCCACAGCCTCTGAAGTGGCCTCCCTTCCTCACAAAGCAGTGAGTATGGTTAATTCAGGCAGTTTATTGCAAAATTCTGCAAGATTCTACTTGGCATAATTGACTCAGTCCTAACAGAACACCGAAGGACAGGTAACAAAAACCAGCACCACTAATTCTGGTTCAGTTTCATTAATTTTCCATAATTTTTCCTCTTTCTACAAATATTTTTGGCCTTTTAGTCTTCTCCTCTAGTGCAACCATTTTGGATTTTTCTCATTGCCATTTGCTACCAGCAATAAATAATAATAAATAAATAATAAGAAGAAATTCCATTTCTGAATCAGGCAAACACAAGTTTTGAGGAATTATACCATGGGTACCCTTAATAGCCAAGGCAGAAGTGCTGCTAGCCAGAGCAATTATTTATCAGGCACCCTCTGCCCATCCATTTTCTTCACAAGTCTGTTCCAGGGTATAGGACCAGTCCATGGGATGGATTCTAGCTATGGTACTACCAAGCCCTGAGGACAGTAATTAATTCCTGCATGTCATCCAAAAATGGGAACTGCCCATGATCTGCCCCTGACTGCCTCAAAGCAGGCAAACATCCTTACCCATGGGAACCATAGTGCTCCTTGTCTGCTGCCATTTCCAAGACAGTCTGTTGGAAAATGACAAAGCAAGCTGCACAGGGTAGTGCTGTCTTCAAATAAATAAATGAGAGACACTAGGGAAAAAAAAGTTTATACTTGGGAATGTTGGATATTAGATCTCCTAGATTAACACACAGTAAAAAACAACAGAATCTGCCCAAGTACTGAATCCCTTTGCTCTTAGCACCAACCAAAGACCAAAAAAAAAAAAAAAAAAGAAAATTTTGTATGGGCATCAGCTTTATTAACTGTTCAGTATGAGACCCCACTTGCATCTGAAGTGCAGAATCCAGCACTGGAGTCCTCAGCACAAGAAAGACATGGACTTGTTGGAGCAGGTCCAAGCAAGAACCATGAAGATGATCAGGGCTGGAGCACTTCTGTGAGGAAAAACTGAGAGATTTGGCACTGTTCACTTCAGAGAAGACTCCAGGAACACATTTTAGGTATTGAAACAGACTAATAGAGTTCAGTAAGAAAGATGGGTACACACTTTTTAGCAAGGCCTGCTGCAATAGGAAAAGGGCCAATGGCATTAAACTGAAGGAGGGTCGATTTAAATTGGGTATGAGGAAGAAATTCTTTACTGCGAGAGTGGAGAGGAGCAGGAACAGGTTGCCAGAGAAGCTGAGG